TTGAGCTCTGCGTGAACTGTATATAACACAAAAGTTTTTTTGTTTCGCTTGGAAGCTTTGTTTTGGTCGTTGTTTTTAGGATCACAATTCATTGTGGCGCACTCAGTATTCGTAGTGCAAAACGGCGACAATCTCTGAGTCTTTTTCAATTTCTGAACTTTAGATTTTTGAGGCATATTATTTGGCTAGTTACAGCGTGCAAAACAAATTCAAATCAGCTGATTCTATCATTGAAAACCAGAAGTATATCATTCTGTTGAAAACAGAAAGCACATGGATTGAACAAGAACCTTGTTTGCGAGCAGAGTCCGATTAAGGGCTTTGGGGATGAAAACAAAACGAACACATCGATTAAAGAGCAAAGGCATCGTGATTTCTTGTGTGTTTATTTGTCATTGCCCTGAAAATTTCACAAATGAAAATCCTTTCCACAAACTGTTTCGTGGCTAGGGCGTATTGCAGGCCTGGTAGGTACTTTCGTAATGCGTCATTTCATAGCTTTATGCGCCATATGCACATGGTGCACAGCCTTCCCAATCCCCCTAAAAGTAGCAGTAATCAAAGATTATGAGAGTGCGTTTGATGCCTTTGCTTTAATGGTCTTTAACCCATTGACTACCGGCCAATTTCCCGTGCTGCCTGTAACCGCCCGAAAAAAAGCACTTGGGGACAATAGCCTTTCCTACCCTCCCTCAAGACTTTTTGGTTCTCTTATTGTTCTATCGTTCTTGAGGACAAATAAACCAATCAGAAGCGACTTACTAAGCATATTTTTAGAGGACTTTAGGGGTCCTAGGAAGATGGTTTTTCTTCTTAAAATTGTGCACTCATAAAGTACAGGTTATCACAGTGTGCAGTCTACAAACTTCAAAGGTCTTGTTTTCATTCCTAACACAGAGAAATTACTGCTTTAGGATTCAAAATAGAGAAGAAAAATACAAATTAATGTTAAGGTGGCCTCAGAATGGAAGATCAAGGAGTACCTGTAGAGTCCTCAAACCTTTCTGGTGAAGAATTTTTGCTCCTTTCTACCACCACAAAAATATGACGATTGGTGCACTTTCAAGTGAGTTTTGAATACAGATCACTGACTTAAAGCAGCATCCTGGACTTTAGAAACAAAAGTGGTAATGTACATTATTGCTTCAAAGTCGAATTCAACTTTTGGAACGATTGGTAACGCCACAGCTGATAAAATGACTGCAAAAGTGGTTGGGAGAAACTCAGAGCTTTCGCTTTATCATGAAGAATTGATTTGAATGCGTGGTCTTGCAGCGAAGCACGTCTGCAAAATTTTGAACATTTTTTTGTTTTGAAATAGGTTTCTTTGCCTCAGCTTGAATGAACATTTATTGTTATTGAACTTCCTTTCAAATTCTTTTATCTGGTGTCCTGTTTTGGGGAATTTTAGGTTTTAATAGTGAACAGTATTTTTGCACACTG